TAATTTAGTTATCATTAATTATTCCCAAATAACACTAAATAAAATTTAGTTCATAACATGTATTATAATCATGCCATAAAAGAAAACATACATTTTAATTGGACTATTCTGGTAATATCATCTAGCACAAGCTCGTCTAGACCCAATCTATTTCTAGTTTTTGGTCAAAAAATGATTACAACTAGTCCTTTTCTAGTTAATGGCATGGTGAGTCGCTTAGTGGCAAGTCTAAACTTTGTATCGTTACATATTTTATAATTGCACTATACTATTAAAATCATCACAAACTCATCTACAACTAGTCCTAATCTAGTTTCTGGCAAAGATTTTGTCTAAAACTAGTCATTTTCTAGTTTCTGGCATAGTGAGAATATTGCTCAGTGACAAGCCTAAAATTTGTATCGGTACATTTATTGTAATTGTACTATACTGGTAAAATTATCAGAATCGCGGTTAGAACTAATCCTTATTTAGTATCTCGCAAAGCTTTTGTCTAAAACTAGTCCTTTTCTAGTTTCTGGGCACGATGATAATATTGTTCAGTGGAAAATTTACAATCTCAATCGTACATATATTACAATGTAATACACTGATATAGTTTCATTGAAAGTTTGTATCTAATTTATAATTTCATTTTATAAAATACCTCATTATTGTTAGTTGAGATACGAATGGTTGCACAAATACTACGTATGGACCCGGTTGATATATAGGTATGTGGTAGTGATGCCACGTTACACGCATTGCGCAGACCTTGTATGGAATGATCCTACATCCATGGATGAGAAGTTGAGGTGTATAACATATTGTTCAAGGCCGTACAAAAACGTCCCACGTCAACCTGGAGTGATAACGTAGCTGAAGGCCTCCGGATTTTATGGCGTCGACACCATTGGAAGGTTGCAGTTAGACTGGGCACTTATAACGGCATTGGTTGAGAGATGGAGATCAGAGACACACTTTTCATATGCCTTTTGGTGAGGTGGGCGTCACCTTACAGGACGTAGAGGTATTGTTGGAGTTGTCCGTGGGTGGAGAACCACCGTCCGGACCTAGGACGAATTTGGAGGCGGTTTGGATGCAAATGTGTGCAAACCCCGCCGATTTCATTCCCTCTAACAAGGACATAAAAACATCTGTAATAAGAATGAATGTCATACAACGTTGGTTGGTACATCAGCATCACACCAATGAGGAATTAATCACATACACAAGGGTACTCATTTTGGCAATTACTAGGCGGATTATTGTTCCCTCCAATAGTGGAAACTATATCAAATTGTAGTTTTTAGAGCTGTTGCTGGGATCTATCGGTGATGCACGACAATGGAGTTGGAGCTCAGCAGTATTGGGATACTTGTATCACAATACATGCAATGCCTCAAACTTCTAAAAGTAAACATAAAACAGTTAAGTAGCTTTTTTCAAGCAGTTCTTTTTTGGATTTTTCAGATCGATCTAGATTCTTATCTGTATTTATATAGTACTCCCTCCGCCCCTTTTTATTTAGTCAAATACTGTTTTCCAGGTCAATGATGTGTAACTTTGACTGATTATATATTTAAACACGGTAATATTGATAATATGAAAATGGTATGAAAATGTTCTTCATTGAAAGTACTATCATAAAAATATAAATTTATTAAGTACAGTTTTACATAAATATATTAGTTAAAACAATGGATCAAGGTTTATCATCTTTGACCGGAAAAGTCAAAGATGGCTAAATAAAAAGGGACGAAGGTAGTACTTTATTTATCTAGTCAGCAGGGAAGAAATAGTCAAAAGCAACATATGTGGTATACAAGATGAATAAGTGTGGACAAAGGAGTTGAATTATCAAAAGCATTCATATCCACTGATAACTACTACATCTGTCCCTCAATTAAAGTCTTAATTTAACTTTTGAGTCAAATTTGTTAAACTTTGACTGTTAATTACTCAAAATTAACAATATTTTATCACAAAAATCAATTTTATATCCTTCATTGTAATATGTATTATTCAATAGGCAATTTATTATAGTTTTTTTTCTATTTGTGCGTGTCATCCTTGCGCAGAGGCCATGCTAATCTTCTCTGTATCGTTCCAATTTTATCGGATGTCCCCAAAGGAACGATAATTTATTATAGATTATATAGAAATATATTTATAGGTAATTATGATCAAACATCTGCCCAGTAGAGCGTACAATCAAACTAGGCCTTTGATTGTGGGATGGATGGAGCAGAACTGCAGAAGTCACTAGGCAAACTAGAGATTTTGTACATTTGAGCTATGTCAGCGGGCCAAATTTCACCCTTAAGGTCCCTCCTCGCCTTGTGAGAGGTGTTGACTTCAAGTCATCTAAGTAGGTGAATATGAAAGACTTTTCCCAAATGATGACCCTCTAACGTCGGGACTAACTCGATTAGTCACACAATCAGCACTTATCACGTATCAAGCAATAGTGTGAAAGTTAACTTCTTACGAAGAACAAGGTGACAATCAATAAGTGAATATTAGCACAGGAGTCGTGCTAGGAACTTCAAGACATGCACAATCAATAATTAAAAAGTAATTTCTTGTGCGCGGTGGTAAAAGACGATGGAATGAAAGTATAAGGTCATTTGAGCAATTCGAATTTACTTGTCTCGAGAGTTTGAGGTGAGTTTGTAAGAGTTCAATATCACTCCGATGTAGTAGTTTCGTGATCACATGGTGTTAATAAATAATGGCAAATTGCCCTAAATAGGAGTAAACAGATTTTGTAATTCAGTACTAGGTCTGCTAAGTTTTTCTTCTGAAATAAGAGTCGTAACTGCTATGATTGAAAAACATTGTCATGATAGAAAAATATTGTCATTAATAATAGTAAATATTGTCACGTTAAATTCTTGGCACTGCAATTATTTGGCAATTACGACTACAAGATAACCGTAAATACTGTCATTTACTTTTATTTTGGAAGAAAAACATAACAGTTCTATTTTGAAATTCCAAAACCTGTTTAGCCGGATTTCCGGAATTTGACTTGTTAATTGGATTTTTATTTGAACTGGTCAATTGCCTCTTCTTTTGTGGTAACTTAGATCTAATCAACATAACCAGCACACGATATTAACAAATAATAATGACCAAAATAATACTCTAGACTTTCTATTACAAATAAGACATGTTCTCAAATTGGACAAAAAATAGACTTAATATTACAAACTGGACTGAAATACCCTTCAAGTACCCTATCCTTCTCCCGTCCTTTGAAATCTCTTCGCCTTCGACCTTCCTGCAGCGTACATCTAACACCCCAAGCAGAGCCACAGATCCATAGCCGCACCTCCAAAGTTGCTTCTCCATCATCGTGCCTCCAGAGCTACACCTCCATCGTCGCGCCTTCATCACTGCAATCTAGAGCTGTGCCTCTATCGGCACAAGCCATATCCGAACCACCATCGCCGCAAGTCATCTTCCTCTCTTCTCCGAGATCTACAGTCGCTTCTAATGGGCTGTTGCGACGACGACGATCTTCACTTATCCTGTAGGGCTAGGGTTTCTACCGCGTGAGATTTTGGTGTTAGGGCGAGGTCAATGGGCTGGCGGCTAGGGGTTACGGGCGGTGGTTGTTGATGGCGGTTGGGGGTTAGGGTTAGGGTTGGGGGCTGCCAGTTGGGGCTTGGCTGGGTCTGGTCTGGTCGGAGTGGGGCAGCACTTGTGGGCGTGGGGCGTGGCTAGGCTGATAGGTGTGGGGCAGGGCTTGGCTGATGCGGGTTGGGCTGCAGTGATGATGGTGGGGCAGAACTCTGCGTGTGGTGGAGCGGGTGGCAGTGATCAATATTGGGTGGTGGTGGTGGTCAATGTTGGGCAACAGTGTTCACCGAGCCCCTATCGACGGTGGTGATTATTCGGGTAGTGGTGTTCACCAGAATCATTATCGATGACAAGGATCATCGGTAGTGACAACAATGATATGTAACTTTCACTAGTGAACCAATAGATAATTGAAAAAATGTAACTGTCACTAATATAATTGTAATAAATATAATTGAAATGTTAGTCAATATTATAATATTGGTCACTGTCACTGGGCATACGAGTCATTAGCACTGGATATATGTGTCACTATCACTGGACATACTTGTTACTGGTCACTGTGACAATAGTTGAAATTGGTCACTGCACCTTTGGTCACTATAACGGGTTACTGTAGCAGGCCTGTTGGATTTGGGCTTTGTAAGGGCGTAAAAAAAGGGTGTAACGGGTTACTGTAGCAAGTCTGTTGGACTTGGGCTTAGCAGGTCTATGTTAGGCATGACAATGTGTCGAGGCAGGTCCGCCCCGCCCCGTGACCTGCACGGGTCCAAACTTGTTGACCCAAATGACCCGCCCCATCACATCTCTAAATAATAATTAAAAAACAATATATTAAATCAAATTCATGATATGCTAAAAATTTCAAAAATTAAGGAAAAAATGCTCAAACTTGAATAGTTAATAATCTAATTAGTTATATTAATAATTGAATATATGTATTAAAAGTCTATATATAAAGAAGACATTGATAATCCGTTGTGCATCTCATTCTAATATATATTCATATATTATAAGATCAAAAAATTTATGATTTATTGTATACACATGTATGTCGAAGTATATTTGTAGTATAATTTAAGAAAAAGTATGTATACTTATATATTAAGCGGGTCGGGTCGGGGCAGCACGGGTCAATTCTAATACACGGACCCGCCCCATTGTATAGGCGGGGCGGGGCAGACCCGCCCCATTTGCGAGACGGGGCGGACCCACCCCAAATGTCTCGGGTCAGGGCGGGTCGGGTTTTTTGACATCCCTAGTCTATGTGGCACCCTTTACTATTTTTTAGTCACATTTTTGGAACATAAAAAAGATCACTTTTTTGTCCAAATCTCTTTTTTTTAGTAATATTTTAGAGATAACCCCTTTTAGGAGGCGCTCATAAATAAACAAAATTAGGGAGGCATACTCATAAATTAACAAAATTAAGGGGCTTAATCGAGCTTGAATACTTGCCTGCTGCCCTGCTTTTTTATATATATCAACCCAAATGCTCGAGAACCTTTGTTGACAGTCGCGACTTTCCCACTCTCAAGTCGAAAGTCGAAACCTCAACGCACAGCTAACCCTATTCCCCTCTCCTCTTTTAGCATAGAGAGGTAGAGGTAATCGTCTCGAACTCGTATCTCTTTTCCAAACCGTCTCTTTTTTCATGCATTATTTCGCCTGATACATTCGTCTTTATTTTACAGTTCACAGCTTGTTTGATCTGGGAGATTTGGATTGTCGTGCCTGCGGAAATGGTAGCTATACTGTTTTTACCCCTTCTGAAACTAGGGTTAAGGGTTTTCAGATTCGTTACTTTATTTATTTATTTATATACAGAGATGTGTTTGTTTAAAGTCCTTCATAGTTTCTTTGTTTGTTTCTTCTATCAGCTTCCGCTTTCTCTCCTCAAAACAGCCCAGGGGCATCCCATGGTATGCTTCACATCTGTCACTTTTTTTACATTAAGAACCGCGCTAGCGCATGTGTTAATTCTCTAATTGTATATGTCTACTATCTGAGTTGCTTCGGAATCTTGTTTTGTTTTTCAATACTCCCCATTTGTTGTTGCAGCTGGTGGAACTCAAGAATGGGGAAACTTATAATGGGCATTTGGTAAATTGTGATACTTGGATGAATATTCATCTCCGGGAAGTCATCTGTACTTCGAAGGTACTTTATCATATGCTTTTGACGGAATCTTTATAATGCTAACAGTTTTCTCGAATGCATTCTGAAAAATAGGCTTATTTTTTAAATATTCATGGTGCAGGATGGAGATAGGTTTTGGAGAATGCCAGAATGTTATATTCGTGGGAACACAATTAAATATCTTCGGGTTCCAGATGAGGTTCGGAAACTCCCTAAATTTTCTAGCCATTATTATTTCTTTATACGTGGTATTTGTTTACATGTATTCTAATGTATTTGAAAACATTAAATGGACTTGCTTGAAGTTATAAATCTCGAGGATTGTGCTGATTATGAGTTCCTACCAATTAAACATCTTTATCAATACTGCTCACCCCCTAATCTGTCTTCTACGTTATGTAATTCACACATGTAGTAAGTTAATAATTTATTGATCAAACACTAATCTTTAATCATCCCCTTTGTCCAGACAAGTCGACAACCACGTAGTCATATTCTACTTCCTTATTAGTTTTTTGCTACCAATGTTCCATGTCTTAAGGAGATTACAACTTCTTATGGGCTATTGTAGTGTTGAGTGATGAGAGGGGTCTAATTGATGAGTCCTAAGAAGTTGTAGTAGTGTGAATTTTCTTGGAAAGCATTTTTTTCTGGGATGATGCAATTTAGCCAAAGCAGACATTGATGTGCTCCTAAGGGTGTTGTGATTTCACTACCTTTAGTAGAAGTGCATGACTGCATCCCTCTGAAGAAAAAACAGAGAATGGTTTCTTTCTGACCAGAACTTTCCTCATGCAATTATTCTCTCTTAGTGTGTAACTGTTGCTAATTCTGTGAGTCCTCACATAATTATTTTATTTAATTTCTATTAATAAATTATTATAAGTCCTATGTCAATGCAGAAAACTGAGACTGGATGATTTCTAACAACAGCTTTCCAAATACAATCAATTTATTTAAATTTCTATTTACAAATTCACTTAACTGTATCTATGAGTTGGATTTCTCCACATATGTTTTCTAACTACATTCTCATTACTAATGGCATTTTTTGGCATGTCACCAGGTGATTGATAAAGTTCAAGAAGAAACAAAAAGCCGAACAGGTAATATGGATTTTTGCAAATCTAGTTTTGCCCATTATCAGCACTGCTATGACCCCCCATTGCATCCATACTAGGGGCATGGATTTACAGAATTAAGTGGATTTCAATTAAAAAAGACAAGAAAATGGGAAGTCAGCTTTCGGAAAATTGGGTTTGGTTAAGTTTATGTTTTTAGCAGCGCAGATAGTCTATATTATCATTCTGTTAATATTTATAAGATCTGAAAAGGACATTATCGTGTCTAGATTTGCTTGAGCGATAAACATCAACAATACAGTACAAATATACTATTTCAACCAATTTGGGAGAAAGTATAACATAACATGAAGTATCCAATAACTAGCCATCCATTCTTTATTTCTCTATGGTCCATTGTCCATACACTGTTTAGCAGCTTAATAATATGAAAAGAATACTACATCTGAGTATTTCAAATGTAAGAATTCTTCAAAGAACTTTTCAGTATGCTATTGTTAAACTCTACTTTTTTGGTATATATGGTTTCAGACAGGAAGCCACCTGGTGTAGGGCGTGGCAGGGGAAGAGGTAGAGAAGATAACGTTGCTGGAAGACAGGGAAGAGGAATTGGGCGTGGGATGGATGATGGAGCTGCCAAAGGCCGGGGAAAGAGTGGCCCTGGTGGCAAGCCCAGTGGAAAAGGTATGAAAATCATTCATTAAGTCATTCGACTTTTGCCCGATTTTTTTTTGTGAACAGGTATGTATTTTCTGCCATTTTATTCCCTTTTTGTCACTTATCCGTGAAAGTTTGAAAGTGCAAGTACATTGGACAGATAAGTGGTTGGACAAACATAAAGTTGTATGAATTCCATAGCGATGCTCGGGGGGAGTTAAAAATAATAATAATCAATGGATTTGGTTTATTTTATGGGCAATGTAAAGCCAGTTAAAGAATGAAGTTAAAAATAGAACAGGTTTATCTATGGTAATTCTACATTCTGTTCAAAATATTTTTGTTTTGCAAGTTCCAGTGAAAAATCGGCATTTTATTCACACATCTTACTCTACCCTAAGTTAGTAAAGCACAACACTAAACCACAGTTTTATCTTTTGGACTTTATTGAAACAAATAGTCCAATGGTTGGATTGATCTAATAGTTCCCGAACCAACTTAGTTCAACAATCCTATCTTTATTCATCATTTCATTCATAAAGTGGTCTCTTTCAAAAACCATCTCTCTATATAGATGTGGAGATGCCAATGAGCTCTGAAATGCATCCCTGCTTTTCCCCCAAGACTATCAAGTCATTCCAACCTATTGCTCTGTAGAGTTGATTGTAAATTAGTCAGTCTAGGTGAAGTAGATGGCCTCTATTTTCCTAATTGCATGTATGACTATGGATTGTTTTGTTGACAGTTGGAGGTCGCGGGCGAGGCTAATAAGTTTGAAGGGTCCATTGATAGCCAGGATTGCCTGCCACTTGCAACACAGAGGGGCATGGTAGACATGTTAAAGTGTGTGGATTGAAGAAACATCTCATCTCTTATCCTGCTTCCTCTTATGGTTGGAGAATCATTAATGAAAATGTATTTTGGGTTATTCCTTTATTGTATTGTTGTCAATTGTCATTAATATTTGTTAGTGGGATGGAATGTAACTAGCCTTTTAAAAGTGTTTTAACTTTGTGAATTCCATTTGTGATAGTGGGACTGGAAAGTGATCTACACCCTAGACTGATAGTCTGAATTCCAATTATTAAAATTTTAACAATTTTAACATGGATGTGAATTCCATCTCGATCTGTCATAGTTAACATGATCAACAATTTTATGCCGCTCCTTTGAGGTTGACAGTCTCAAATTCAGAACATTGATCCTTTGTCTTTGTTGGTTCACTTGGTTGTTAAAACACCCACAATCAATTGTGACATACGTCTCAAAGCATGATTTTTTTTTGTGTGTGAAGTTTTAAAAACAGGTGTCAAGTTTAAGAACAAGGATATAGAACTTTATAATACGTGGCAAATATGAAGTTTCAATTTTCAAATATCAAATTATGTTCTAAAAGTGAAATATGATTCACCCGCAATTGTGAATGTCCTTATCGTTGTTATTTTGATATTGATTTTAATATGAAGCATTTACCATAAAAAATAAAGATTTTATTACATTCTCCCAGTGTATTCCGGTAATGCTTTGCATGTGGTTAAAAAGACTTAAATAATACAAAGTAGTTTATAATAATAATTAGTATACCATACAAAACAATAATTAGTAGTCCAATGAATTAAAAACAGTCACGCTATCACAGAAACCAGACAACAAAGGAGACAGCGAAAGCAGAACTGACCAAATATATCTGTTAAAACTTAGCAACAACCAAAGTTTGTCTTCTTGTTTCTAATCACAGAATATATCTCATCACTTTCTTCTTCTATTCCTTTTGAGATGTAAAAGCTAAAATAGTTAAACCGCCGGATGCAGAAGATTTGTAATAGCTAGAAATTATAAAGAGTTGTTTGGTGATGGGTGATATAAAGGAAGAGGAGCAGCATGGCATCAAGGATACTGAAGAAGAAGTAGCAGAAATGGATAAAGAAGAAAAACCTCTTGAGAAGACGAAGCGTTTGGCCTCTCTGGATATCTTCCGAGGCCTTACTGTTGCGGTAAGTGTTCCACTTATTGGGAAAAGTTGCAAATAGGCCCATGTACTAACCAAAAAAGGTCAAATAAGCCCTTATTTAGGAGGTTCTGTCCGGCCGTCGTCATTTGGGGTGGTTCCCGGTGGAATTTTTTGATGAAATTTTTTGAGCATCTTATTCATCAAGTCTAGTTTACTCATACCAAATTTGAGTTAAAACTTCAATCGGGAAGACATTCAAATGAATTCTTGAAGATAACTGCGATTCTAACTGCGCAGTTAATTTCAAGAATTCATTTGAATGCCTTCCCGATTGAATTTTCAGCTGAAATTTTTTATGAGAAAACTAGACTTGATGAATAAGATGCTCAAAAAATTTTATCAAAAAATTCCACCGGGAACCACCCCAAATGGCGATGACCGGACAGAGCCTGCTAAATAAGGGCTTATTTGACCTTTTTTTGTTAGTACGTGGGCCTATTTGCACCTTTTCCCTAAAATTCAAGAGTATGGTAATTCAAGAGTTGTCACACCCTTGTTTTGGTGAGATTATGGATGTTTCTCATTAAAATTTATGGTCAGAAGACTCCGAACTATTGTTGAAGTAGTTTATTTAAGTTTTATTTAAGGAGTGTTTGCAGTTGATTAAAAAAAGCACTTTTCAGCTTTTGGCTTAAAAAAAGTTAAAAAGAGTGTTTGCAGTTGATTAAAAAAAAGCACTTTTCAGCTTTTGGTTTAAAAAAAAAGTTAAAAAGAGTGTTTTCAAATGACAGCTTCTGCTTAAATTAATCACTTAAAAGCTAAAAGCTGGAAGCAGGTGGAAGAGTGCTTTAAACTGCTTTTCACTTTTTCTACTATACAAAAAGTACTTATTTTACCTAACACTACCAACTTTTACTTTTTCAGAATCACTTTTTCCTCAAACACTACCAACTTTTACTATTAATCACTTTTCCCCAAATCACTTTAAAAAATCACTTTTTTAAAGTTGAAGCAATTGCAAACACTCCCTTAGTCCCGTGTCATACTGAAATCATTCCAAGAGGCCTGACGGGAACCGCCGTCAGGCCGAGGCCATTTGGGGACCTTCCTGGCGGAATTTTTTGATGAATTTTTTTGACCATGTTCCTCATCAAGTCTAATTTATCCATACCAAATTTCAGCAAAAAATTCAATCGGGAAGGCAGTAAAAAAAATCCCTACTAAACCTGTGCATTATTTATATATAAACTGCGCAGTTTTAGTAAGGAATTTTTTTGACTGCATTCCCGATTGAAGTTTTAGCTGAAATTTGGTATGCATAAACTAGACGGGATGAGGAACATGCTCAAAAAATTTCATCAAAAAATTCCACCGGAAAGGGCCTCTGATGGCCTCGGCCTTACGGCGTTTTCCGTCAGGCCGGCCTGACAGGATCAATTAAAATACATTGAGAAAAAACAGAGATAAACTTTGGTCAATCGTTTTAACTAATCCTTTTTAGCTAACATGAATCATTTTTGTTCTCCAATTTTGAATAATTTATACGTAGTACTCCGTATAATTTTTGGTTTTATTTTTCAAAGTTAGATAGGATTTAAATCTAGTATTTAAGTATATATGTTTTAAACTTTTAATTGCTAACAATAGTTGAAATATTTAACATGAAAATTAACTTTACCCTCAGCCAACCTCCTACACCATTTTTACATTTACAGACGGAAGAAATAATTAGAAGTTAAAAATAATAAGAAATTCAAAAAATACTATTGTACATAAATATGGTATAATTTATGTGGTTTGTAGGAGGATTTGGTACTTTTGTTAATGCTACAAATAATAATGGTCAGTTTATTATTATCAATAATAATTTATTAACCTCATGTTTTGGATTGATTATTAATGAGAAAAAGTAACGTTCAAAATGTTTATTTGTGTGTGTGATGTTGAAGAAGTTAGACATATTTAGCCTTTTCTTTATCATGTATTAATTTTATTTGTTTTATTAATAAAATTATTACAAATATAATCTTTTATAAAGTACTTCAGTACATCTTCAAACAAAATGTAGCTGCCACAGCTGTTATTAGTCTTGCCAATGAGGCTCCTATAAAAGTTTGAATTACTCCCTTTATATAATCCCAAGTATTTAATATGATAGACAATCTCATTAATTGTTAAACTTTCCGATTTCAAGTCTAATTATGGAATTCATGACTAGTTGATGGTGTTAGTTGATGATGCCGGAGGAGAGTGGCCAGTAATAGGGCATGCGCCATGGAATGGCTGCAATCTTGCTGATTTTGTGATGCCTTTCTTTCTGTTTATTGTGGGAATGGCCGTTGCACTCTCTCTCAAGGTTTGACCTCTTTATTTCATTAAATTTCCCTTGTAAAACTGAGTAAACTGAGATAAATTTAGTTTTGCTGCACTGGATATTTTGCCTTCTAATTAATTAACTAATAACTAATATGCAGAGAATACCAAAAAAAATTATGGCTATCAAGAAAGTGATCTTAAGAACACTCAAGCTTGTTTTTTGGGGACTTCTATTACAAGGTTGGTTAGTGCTTTGTGTCTAGTAAAGTGTTTACAAGTTTGTCCTATATCAGTTGAATATGACATAACAACACAACATATAAAACATGCAAGTTACTTCTCATATCAACTTGACTTAGGTGGAACTTCAAATCTTAATAGAAAGCAAATAATCCCTTTTATTTATTTTCTATAACCGTGAAGGAGGATATTCACATGCACCAGACAAGTTAACATATGGTGTGGACTTGAAAAAGATTAGATGGTGTGGCATTCTCCAGGTAGTGTTATTTGATTTGTGTTTTTCGATTTCTATTTGTCTCTTAGTGACTAATGAGGCTTCTTTTAATTCTTCCATTTCTCTAGAGGATTGCTCTTGCTTATTTCATGGCGGCGATGATAGAGATCTCGATGCAAAAAAGGCAAGCTAGGGTTCTATCGCAGGGACCATTCTCCATATTTAAGCTATACTACCGACATTGGTGAGTGTCACTGTGCAGTATCACTGGTATTGCTAATTCTTGTTTAAGTCGTGGGAACTAAATTGGGTAAAAATGTACATGAGTCAAACTACATTGAAAGATTGAATCTAATAGATTATGGGGGGTGTTTGGTAAATGGCGTTTCATCCAAAAAATGGCGGTTCGACCTCTTTTATCGTTTTCAATAAGGAAAAACATTGTTTGGTAAATAGCTGTGAGGCACTAGCATTTTTGGACGAAACCGCTGAAATCAAAATGCCGCAAATTTGAGAGTTTTGGGTTAGCGTTTTGAAATATGGCGTTTTCCAAACAACTAAATTACAAAACATCTTCTGACAACCCGCCAACTTATTCCACTAGTCAAACCCGGTGAATGAATCCGCTCTAAACAACCCGCTAACATAATCTGCTATTCGCTCACCGCTAACCGCTAAATGCCAAACACACCGTATGTAATACTACGTAACATTGAAGACAATATAAACACATATGTTTTGCTCTAGTATTTCAACGTAAGACTCGCTCAACACATAGCGACTTTTAGAACTATGTTTATGTAGTCCATCATCTGCAGGGCCATTGGAGGTTGCATTTTAGTAGTTTACATGGCCACATTGTATGGAACATATGTTCCTGACTGGCAATTCGTTGTGAAAAATACAAACAGTCCTGACTTTGGAAAGGTCTTAACTGTAAGTGTCTCCTTTGGAAAAAAGAAATCCCCTATATAAATGATTCTTTTTGTTCTTCCACTAACAATAAGGTCTTTGGTTTTCACTTTCTAGGTATCTTGCAATGTAAGAGGGAAACTGGATCCTCCTTGTAATGCAGTGGGTTATATCGACAGACAAGTTCTAGGAATCAATCATATGTACCCTCATCCAGCTTGGAAGAGATCTAAGGTCAATTTCTTCTCCTTATTTTTTCCGCCCGAATCTTATCACCTTCAAGTCTTATGTGAAGCATTGCAGGCCTGCACGAAGAACTCTCCGCATGAGGGACCGTTCAGAAATGATGCTCCGTCTTGGTGTTGGGCTCCTTTTGATCCAGAAGGAATACTGAGGTAGGCAATAGGATGTGCAGCTACGTCGTCTATTTTTAATGAATGTGCTCTTTTTGAATTTTAGTCAAATTGCATGGCTCATTCGAGTTTATTGGTGTGTGATAGATACAGTATTATGATTTGGATCTCCATCCCAAACGGTCAATTCAATAGGAAACACCAC